CACTTTGCATCACTACTAAATTGAATTATAACAAATCATAAAATTTTCAAAGCTGTATCTTATATTAAAGGAACTTTTTACCCAACTTACTATGCGTACTTTAATTCATAATGTATTATGATTCTAACTCGTAGTTAAAATATTTGAAAAATTGTTTTAGCATACGACTTGCAATTAACATAATATATTTATTATATCGTATTCAAGACTATTTGTTAAATTTAAATGCCCAGAATAACATCTTTTACATCAATACAATTACATTTAATTACATTTTATAATTGAGATTACTGGTGTATATTTTTAAATATTGTATACAATTATTGTAATAACAATTCAATATATAAATGCGAAACCAACTGATTATATTTTAAATGAAAAAAAGCATAAACTACTAAAAATCAGGTACAGTCATATCCGCAAATTCTTCAGCTTCCTCAGCAGAATATTGATTTGAAGTGTCATAAATATCAAAACCATTATCCTTTACAGGAGTTTCAACTTCTCCCAAATCTTGCTCAGAAATTTCGGATAAATCATCATCTCTAAATGATGGATTTAACCAATCCCTTGGGTCTTCCGCATCTTTTGTTGCATCTTCATACCATTTTTTAAGAGGTCTACTATTTAAAAATGCTATTATAATAATTGACATATCATCAGTACAAAATCCAGATTGAGAGATTAAATCACATAATTTGATCAAGTCTTTGCAGGCCAATTCTATTAAGTCGGTTGAATACTTGTTCTGCTTCATGTAGCTTAATAGCACTTGAGTTGGCATTCTCTTATATACTCTAAGACGATTCGTTATACCTTTTTTTTTTTTTTTTACAAAATTAAAATATTTAATATCTGATAATTATACAATGCATTTTATGTCATTAAATAAACTTACCATCGGAGCAAAGAACTAGTAAATTTAGATCTTTGGCATTATAAATTTTGTCTGCAAATTCTGGTTCGGCTATAAAAATAATTGTAGAGCATAAGTATCTGGAAAACAAGTCAAATAGGTA